ACTGAACATGGACCCAGAAGGGCATAAATGGATATATGACCTTTGGTGTTGTCAATAGAGAGTACCAGAAATTTATTGTGAATAATGTGTTTGATCCTCGTGAATCTCATTTTTTATTTTTTCATTTAATTAATCTATGTAACTAATTTCAATCTGTAAAAAAAAAAAAAAAAGATGTGGTAGTACAAGAGTCACCAAATAGTATTAGCATCTTTTGCTTGCATTCCACGTGCGTGATGCAACGGTCACTTATTACTTTTTGGTGTAGGCCGTGGTTTGCATCCTATGTCTTGGGTTTAATACCCTTCCTACACACTAACACCTCTAACACACTAACATCTCTAACAATTCTAACAATTGCCCTTCTCAAAAAAAAAAATAAATAAATAGAGAGGAAAAAGTACTAATTAAATTTAGGAAAAGGGAAGCTAGTACAGGATAACAAGTTTACAAAGGCATACCTACGCTTAAGTATTCTTTTCTGTTGAGAAACATCTGTTACCAGTGATCCTCCATTGCTTCATATTTGACTAAATTCAACCATCAAAAGATAAACAAACAGTTACAAAGATTGATAGAAGCAAGCTGCAGTTAATGCAAAACTACCTCCAACAGAGCTAATTTTCTCTTCAACACATATTTTTGTTTAACCATATGATTTTGCAGTAATCACTTACAAAAACAACAACAATTGTAGAAACAACCATATCTGGTTCTCCTACCACAAAGGCTTTCTAGGACTTCTGTGGAAACAAAAGTAAGTTCAATGCTAGAGTTTGAGTTTGGAAATAAGAAAATCAGAATGACAGGAAAGCCTTGGGACAAGGCAGGAGTAAACTGAGTTCAATTTATAGAAAGACATAAAGTAGAAAATAAACCAGACAACCATAAGGTGGAAGGCAAATGGACACCATACACCTCCTACACACACCACCTGCATTAGTACCAATCTAATATAGCTAGGTGCAATATGAAAATTAGAAGCCAACTGCATTCTCACTTAGTGTAAACGTGTGTGTCTGTGTAAGCATGCACATGAATCTCCACCTTACATGCATTTTTGGTGTTGTATTTACCTATTTCACAGCCATTAAGTGTCAGCATGATATTGGCAAAAGCCGAATTCTCAAGACCAATCCAGAAAAGCAAGTAAACCTCCATTTTGCATCCTTCTGGTATATCCCAGATCAAGCCTCCAATGCTATATCTAGTACCAGCTTCAGCTACTGAACTGTCACTAGAAGTATAACCACCCAAAATTCCCAGCAGTCCTTTGGAATTCCTATGGTCTTCGAAGGGACCTAAGGTTAAACACATAACATCAGCAAAATGAATATCCCCTCTGGATTTAGGACCACAAGATCTTGCTGATTTGACCAATTTTTCTCTAATATGTGGAATTGCATATGTGTACTCCAGCCCATAGAGAACCTGCATTCAGAGAAAAATAATACCAATTACTCCCTGCACAAAAATACGCCTTAGTTATTTCTGGCAATATCATGATATTAGATAATAATGGAGTTGTAGGAACTGAGTAAGAGCAAAATCAAAGAACCAACACAATGCATTCAGCTTCAAATTTTGTAAAGCAAGTTTTAGAAAATATCCTTGATCACTAACAGTACCAACCAAGCACAAAGGATTTGATGGAAAACTTGGTGAAATCAATGCTAGTATTTAGTGAAAACTTTTTTCTTATATTTTAGTACATTTTTGCCAGCATATTGTAAGAAAACCAATTAAGTAAATAAACTAGCAAAAAAAAAAAAAGATGCAATTATAGCATGCCCCTGCCCATCAGTTGAATGGAAATGAGATTCATCCACTTGAAGAAACTATAAAAGTGGTCGATACCCTAACAATCTGCCATGAACACAATGGCTCTCTTTTAGATAAAAGTAGGGTTAAGTAACTAATGCTACAGTTGGAGTCCAAGCTGAATCAGAAAGGGAACAAAAAAATAATAATTCTACCCCTTAAATAAATCTCACCATCATCAGTCAAGGAAGGCAAACTGATATGCTGGAGGGTATCTTTCTACCTGGTCCTCGTATCAGCATTTGCATACTTTGTTGCATTTTTATAAGACCATAAAAAATAGTCAACAGTAAATACAAGTATGTTGACATGAGTACGTATAGTTAACCAGTAACATCAATGGATGGCAATTTCAACTTAATTCAAAAAATTAAAAAAAATTAAAAAAAGAAAAAAGAAAAAAAGAACCTTTGGTCCTTCTACCATACCACAATGGGCTTGTCATTAGTCGAAGAGAGATTTAATAAGTTCACAAGGCAACTGGGTACATTGATTGAAGCTTTCCCAAAGACAAAAAATGCTGGAAGATTTGAGGTTCCTGCAACAAAACCGCACACTGTTAGGGGAGACAATCACAAACTAGAAAATGAAGAAAGAAAGCATGAAATCCTCAAACTAGAGCAACTTGAGAGACAGCCATAGACAAACAAACAAAGTAAAGAAATAAATAAAGATGTTCGGAAGCCATTGAGATAATTAAAAAAATAAAATATAAAAAAATAGAAATAAAACTTAAATAAGGTATAGAAATCAAATAAATAACACATGCAGCAATAATAACTCATGTAAGTTTTTACCAAAAAAAACCTCATGTAAGTAATAAATTTTAAGTTAAACACATAACACATATAATAATGGTATCTTATATTAACCTTTTTCTTTCTTAAACCACATATATAAATATTTATCTACAAATTACCTGATACTTATTGTATTAAAAGTTAAGTATAGATTTTTAAATATTTGGATAAATACCAAGTTTAAAAGTTATACTTAAAAATTTTTAAATTAAATATCAAATATAGTTCATATCCACATATACATAAAAATACAAACGATCCGTTCGACCCAATGACATTGGATCTTAAATTATAAACCATTTACCTCCTATGAATTCATGTTCGAATCTCACAAAATTTCTTTCCTCTAAGTAATTGTAATCTATTAAAAGAAAAAATCAAATATGATTGTTATTTTCCTCTCCTTTCCTTCCTCCCCTTCCTTTTAAATTTTTTACTAACTAAATAAAAAAAATTTCACCCCTCCCTTAATTTTCCCTCCCATTTGCTCAAACCAAACATTCTATTAGTTATTGAGCTAATGGTTGTTGTGCATCAATTGCTGAAAGCAAACCCAAAACAAAGAAGAAATATTAATATTTTTTGAGATAAGAAGAAAAATTAATATTAGAAGATATAATAAATTAGGTAAAAAATACAATATGATATGTAAATAGCACTAATAATGATATCAAAAATTGCATTACGCTTTATTATAAGTCATGAAATATTATTCCTTTTTATTTGTACAACTTACAATTTTATTTTTAAAAGAGTTTTCACCAAAAAAGAGTTTACCCCTACTTATAAACTACAATTATAAACTCCCTCTACCATTACCCTAAACTCTTATTATCCCAACATTATTACCGTTGGACCTATTGCTAGTCTAAATCATTAAATTCAAACTCAGTACAGACATTACAAGTGGTGAGTCCCATAAGATTGGCCTATTAAATGGGTTTTGGTCATAGTATACCTATTAATTCCATGAACCAAACTCACACGATAGAGCTTCATTGAAACAAAAGGAGGAGCATAATTGAATCCATCTTCCAGACAGTGAGGCTCACCTTTGTTCATGGGTGTCTACCTACATCTGTCCCTTTGTCTGGTGTTCGTATACAGCTACCTCTTCACTAGCCCTACTTTCCATGACAGTTCCCTGCAACTTGTTGGTATCTTTTTACAAGATAATGGAATGAACTTTTAATAGTCGGTCCATTGGTTTTATGACTTTGTCCTTGCATACGTGTACCTTGTATATGTTGTCCAAGATCATCATGAGTCATTCCATTAGATTTCAAAAGTATTGACAAAGTAAACGCTCGTACCCTCTCATTCGTTAATTTAAAATTCAAAATTTTGCAGGAGAACTTAATTAATGCAGATAAGTTCAAGTGTTCTTTCCCCGCCTAGTCACCAACATAGACATAGAGCCTCTTCAGCTGCTAAAATTGAACGGATTTCATGTTTTTTTAAGGTAATTTAATTTCTGAATTTATTAAAATATTATTAATAAATAATAAATAAATATAAAAAAAAGCTTTATTATAGTGTTTTAGTTATTTCAGCAAAACTTAGAAAAATATTTTTTAAAATAGGTGAAATTTTACCGTTATCTTCTTCTTCTTTCTTTTTTTTTCTTCTTTTTTTTTTTTTCATCTTTCCTAAAGTAGGGAACAAGCCAATATTGTGGGTTTTGTTGTGCCTTTTATTTTCACCTAGTTTATGTAGATTTTCTAATATTTTTTTCATGTTATGTGAATTGAATGTAATATGTAGTATGTATTAATGTATGTCTTTGGGCAGTTTTAGGGCTTTAGCACTGTTGAGATTTTGAACTAATTCAATACTTAAAAACACTTTAACATTTAAATTAACAATATTCAGTAATGGTAGAAAATAACTTTCAAAATTAAATATTATAGAAAGAGAAGGTAATAAAATTGTTATGTATTTACTTTTCAATCCTAATTGGACCCTTTGTCAATGTTGAGTCATCTTTTCAACAATATGCATGTTTTTCATATGTGTATAATAAAGATAAAATGAGAAACAAATTTCTTCTTAGTCCA